TTGGTTTATAGTTTCCTGCATTTCTAGGATTACTGTTTGATTTTTTTTAAGATCTCTATCTCCTGGTAAAGCTCGTTCTTTGCCATTTGAATTTGTTTGTTTAATTCATTTTCAAAATATACTTTTATTGCTTGGACTTGCTGTCTCATGTCTTCTCTAATATTCCTTTCCATCTGAGTTAGGTGTGCCTTGAGTTCTTTCCCTATCCCTGTTTCTGATGCTTCTAGGTCCTCCTGTAGAATTAAATTGTCCTGCATTGTTTGTACTCCTTTTTTCCCTTGTTTTTTCATGATGTTCACGCTAATTTCCAGCTCTATTTGATTGCTGTGTTTCTGCTCTCTTCTATAAATTTGTTTTGCTTTTTTATATCTCTGTCGTCTCTCCTTTGTGTTGGTAGACTATGCTTGCTAAAGTGGATTCCGTTGGGAAGGAATTCCAATGGTCAAGCTCCAGTGACGTCACCTCTCTGCTATGGCGGGCCCCAGGCTCTTTACTGGGGTGTCCGAATGGAGGGGTGGGATTGGACTGTCTCTGTTTGGTTTCAGCTCCTGGACCCCGGCGGCTGGGCGGTCTCCAGCTGCCCAGTTGCGCTGGCAGCCGGCAGGCGAATGGTCACCGGTGGGCGTGCAGTCTCCAGCTGCCCAGTCGCGCGGTCAGCCGGCGGTCGATCGGTCGCCCGCGGGCATGTGGTCTCCAGCTGCTCAGTCGCCGAAGCAATGGGCCGTCTGTCGCTGGTGTGTGGGCGATCTCTAGCCGTCTAGTCGCAGGGGCAATGGGCGGGCTGTCGCAGGCAGGCGGGCGGTCCCCAGCTGCCCAGTCGCGTGGGCAGCCGGCGGGCGATTGGTCACCAACATGCCTGAGGTTTCCAGCTGCTCAGTCGCAGGGGTAATGGGTCTGTTGTAGCTGGTGGGCGGGCGATCTCTAGCCGCCCAGTCGCAGGGGCAATGGGCCGGCTATTGCAGGCGGGCGGGCAATCTCTAGCTGCCCAGTCATGCGGTTGGTCGCCGGCGGGCAGCGGGTCGAGTTTCGCCGGCTGGCGTGCGTTCTCTAGCCGCGAGGGCCTGGCCTCTAGTCCCCTGGTTTCTCCTGCTAGTCCTGGTTTCTCCTGCTGGACCAGATTTCCCCTGAATGATGCCTCTTGGCAGTTCAAACTGTACTCTGGGCCTGGAGGGTGCCTATTGAGAACCCCCCCCAAGCACTCTATTGTTTTGATTTTTTCTGCTTGCCCCTCCCCCCGCGCTGGCAATACAGGTTTCATTTTCCCCGCTGATGAGAGGGGGAGTTGAAGGTCTGGTGTCTCTAGTTTTCCCCGTGTCTTTATGCAGGCTTGCTCTGATAATCCCTCCCCCGGAGAGCCTAGGAGAGATTTTATTCGAATTCCCCGCTGTATGGGAGATGAGCTGAGTAACACGCACCTGTTTTATTTTTGCAATCTGTTGGAGAGTGGCGGTGGTTATTTCAGCTCTCCAAGATGGTGGCCATTGGTTTCGATTTTAGTTCTTTATATATGGTGGAGATTAGTGCTCTATCTGATGTGCATATGGCAACAATTTGATCCGCAAATGTAGGCTGTCTCTTCACCTCATTGATTATTTCTTTTGCTGAAAAGAAGCTTTTTAGTTTGAATCCTTCCTAATTATTTATTCTTAATTTTGTTTCTTGCACTTTAGGAGTCTTGTTAAGGAAGTCAGGGCCTCATTCTACATGATGGTGATTTGGGCCTACTTTTTCTTCTATTAGGTGCAGGTCTCTGATCTAATTCCCAGGTCCTTGATCCACTTTGAGTTGAGTTTTCTGCATGGTGAGAGAGAGGGTTTAGTTTCATTTTTGCATATAGATTTCCAGTTTTTCCAGCACCATTTATTGAAGAGGCTATCTTTTCTCCAATGTATTTTTTGGCACCTTTGTCTAGTATGAGGTAAAAAATAGTGCATGATAATCAAGTGAGGTTCATTTCAGGGATACATCATTGGTTCAACATACAGAAATCAATAAACATAATTCATCAAATCATTAGACTTAAAGGTAAGATTCATATGGTTATATCAATTGATGCAGAGAAAGCATTTGACAAAATACAGCACCCTTTCATATTCAAAACACTAGAAAAACTAGGGATAGTAGGAATATACCTCAACATTGTAAAAGCTACCTATGCCAATCTCAAGGCCAACATCATGCTAAATGATGAAAAATTGGAAGCATTCCCTTTAAAAAGTGCAACAAGACAGGGATGCCCTCTTTCACCAATTCTATTCAACATAGTCCTTGAAACTCTAGCCAGAGCAAGTAGACAGATGAAGGAAATTAAAGGGATATGAATAAGAAAAGAACTCAAACTATCATTATTTGCCAATGAAATGATTCTCTATTTAAAGGATCCAAAAAATCCAACCAGAACACTTGTAGAATTAATAAATGAATTCAGCAAAGTAGCAGGATAGAAATATATATCCATAAATCAAATGCCTCTCTATACATCAGTGGTGAATCCTCTGAAAGGAAAATTAGGAAAACTACCCAATTCACAATAGCCTCAAAAAAAAATTGGAAATCAATAAAAGAGGTGAAAGACATCTATAATGTAAACTACAGAACACTAAAGAAAGAAATTGAAGAATACCTTAAAAGATGGAAAGATCTCCCATGCTCTTGGATAGGCAGAATTAATATTGTCAAAATGGCCATACTACCCAAAGAGGTGTACAGATTCAATATGATTTCAATTAAAATCCCAACATCATTACTTATACAAATAGAAAAAACAATCATGAAATTCATTTGGAAAAAATAAGGGACCCCGAATCGCCACAACAATCCTTTGCAAGAAGAGCGAAGCAGGAGGCATCACAATACCAGACCTTAAACTATACTACAAAGCTATAGTAACAAAAACCACATGGTATTAGCACCAAAACAGGTATGTAGACCAGTGGTACAGAATTGAAGACACAGAGACAAACCCACTTAAATACAGTTACCTGATACTAAATTTACTGGATTTTTTTGAAGATCATAACTGCATATAAAATTTTTATTTGTATATATGTATATAAAAGATTTACTGTATATGTAAGTATATATGAAAATTTTACTCTACCCTTCACATTGCCTTGAACACAATAACTATTTTAATATTTGAACACTTGTCATTTCTTTTAATTTATTTGTTTATAAAATGTTATTTTTACTTAATATTTTGCTTCATTAATTATACTTTACATTTAACATGGTCTTTCAGCTTCATCAACATTTTATGTTTTTGAGTCAATTACAAAATACACAAGGGACTTAGTGTGTAGATAACTATATTTGTTAATCTTTTCTACTTCAGATTATCGTCACAATGGTCGAGATCTTCAAAGCTCAACATTATCAGTGCCAGAACAAGTAATGTCATCAAACCATTGTTCACCCTCAGGTTCTCCTCATCGAGTAGATGTTATTGGAAGGACTAGATCGTGGTCACCCAGTGTCCCTCCTCCACAAAGGTAAGATAGTACACATATTTTATTCTGCAGGCTTACTCACCATAAAGTTTCATTAATAATCTCTAAAGATAAATTCTTTTTTTAATATTTATTTTTTCATTGTACACAATACCTTTATTTTGTTTATTTGTTTTTATGTGGTGCTGAGGATCAAACCCAGGGTCTCGCACGTACTAGGCGAGCGCTCTACCACTGAACCACAACCCCAGCCCTAAAGATAAATTCTTATTGAAAAAAGTTACTTAAAAAAAAACATAATACTGTTCAATAAAACATGTAATGAGGATAAAATGAAATAAGAATTACTTTGTAAAGTTGGATTATCTAAATATTATTTTATTATTTGTTTATACATAATTATCTTCTAATTAAGAATTAGCTTTAATCACATATCAGTATTTAGCATATCTAGTTAGTAACAACTAATTATACTCATAAATGATACTTATTGGTGACTTAAGAAATAAGAAAAATAAAATTAGTCTTTAATATTAGGAACAATCATCAGAACAATAAAAAAGAGATGGGCGTAGTGGCCACTTGCCTGTAATCCCAGTGGCTCAGAAGCAGAGACAGGAGGATCGCAAGTTCAAAGCCAGCCTCAGCAACTTAGTGAAGCCCTAAAGCAGCTTAGTGAGACCCTATCTCTAAACAAAATATAAAAAAGGGCTGGGGATGTGACTCAGGGGTTAAGTACCCCTGGGTTCAATTCCCTGTACCAAAAAATAAAAAAAAGAAAAGAAAAATTAAAGGATAAAAAGGAATGCATATGCATCTGATAACTGTGGTAATAATGCATGTTTTTAAGCTTGATGTAGCCATTCTACAATGATTATATATATTATATACCATAAACATATGACATTTTAACATGTCAGTTTTAAAAAAAAAGAAAATGGTAAACTTAGTAAGTAAGCATTAAAAAATGAAATATAGAAAAACAAAGGAAATCATAATGGAATTTGAAGAAAGGAATTATTAATGATGAGGCAAAATTGATGAAATTGAGACAAAATGAGGTATAACAAGAGAAAAAAAGAAAAAGGAGAAAAAAATATGAGTGTATATGAACCCCAAAACTAGTTATTTGGAAAGATTAATGACATCAATATAATAGAGGTCAAAGACAAACCATTTCCCTTCTCCCTTCCACTCAAAGAGTTCAGACTAAGAAGTTATTACACATAAATTCTAACCAAATTACAAAGCCAGATATCTCTGTTCTATACAACTTTAGAAATGAAGCTGTGTAACTCTTTCTGGAACTAATATAATCCTCACTAACAATCTTTACAGTATAAAAAATTATAAGCACAATTTTAATTACAACAACAGGTGTAAAAATCTTATATTAACTAACTAAATCTAACCATGAATAAAAAGCATGATGTTTGGATGTCTTTATGGTAACTCTTTATAGAATTAATTAACTAATTAATTAATTATTATGGGAGTTCTACCAAACAGCTGGCCATACATCAACTTGAAAAAATAAGTAATAATTGATAAGAAAATATAATAAGGGGGCTGGGGATGTGGCTCAAGCGGTAGCACGCACGCCTGGCATGCGTGCGGCCCGGGTTCGATCCTCAGCACCACATACCAACAAAGATGTTGTGTCCGCCAAGAACTAAAAATAAATAAATATTTAAAAAAAAAAAGAAAGAAAATATAATAAGAAACATGGCACTAGTCTTAAAAACAACATGAAGTTCAAAATATCTAATGATTCATTTAACAATTAACGAGACCTTAAGGAAAAATATGAAACTTAGGTAAGTAATAAATGAGATAAATCCAGTTCATGGATATAGTAACTTTATATAATCAAGATGGCAGTCCTCCACAAATTAATCTGTAATGAAGTACCAATAAAATTTTTTTGTGAAATTTTTAGAACTGTGATATCACTCTAGAATTTATATGAAAGGAAAAATGTATATAAATAATTAAATCATTTCAAAGAGAAAAGAAAAACTCATCACTAAGCATACATAATAATTGACATGTTGAATACACTATATGGTGCAAAATAAATATATATAACTTACGTGCATATATTTTAACTTATAGAAATAAAGGTAGCACTATAAATTACTATGGAAAGGATAGGTTGGAAGATAAACATGCCATGTAGAATAAAATTAAAAACCAATTCTTACCTTTTATTCTATAAATTGAGTTGCTGTGATCCTTAATTGTGTTTCAAATGATTGCTTTCTGTCATGGTCAATTGGGTTGAAGCAAGAGAATACTTAGGCAGCTATTGTTAGAGTAAATGCATGAAGGTGGTTATTTGTCTAGAGTGCTACCAAGGGAGATGGTGAAAAGTAGGTAGATTTTTGAGTTGTTCTGAGCTCTGAGCTCATGTGCAAGCACCTATGAGGTATCTCTTCTCCATTCTCGTAGGCCTTGTAAACCAATATGTGTAATATGGAACTGATTTTCACCACACACATGTATTACTCCTCCTGGTATCATATACCATTGAATATTGCTACAAGGAGTCATTTATTAACAGTTTTGATATTCTTTATCTTATCCCCAATGATATTAACTTAATTTAGGCTCTTTTTGTGCCTCTATCAGCAATCTCTTCAATTAACTCTCAAACTTCAACAAAATTTTTATATTGGCCAGAGGTTAAATGAAATAATTGTATGTGACATTGCAGTGACTTTGTCTTTTTCTACCATTTTTATTAATAACTGAATTTCTTAGTATAATATGAGCTTATGGCTTATATTTAATGGATTTTGCTGCTTTAGTAGGAATGTGGAACAGGGACTTCGAGGGACCCGTACTACAACTGGACATTATAATACAATTAGTCGAATGGATAGACATCATATCATGGATGACCATTACTCTCCAGATAGAGACAGGTAAATATAAATACTGTTAAACTTTATTTTGGTCACTACCTAATGGAAAAGGTTATCACAGAACAGTTCAAGCAGTCCTTTATGTTAGTTTCCAAAGCCATGTATTCTTTTTACTATGTCCAGTCTTTCTTATGATTGCCACATTGCTAAACAAATAAAAAATAAACAACATTTTTTTGTGTGAGAGAAAAAAACATTTTGTTTTTGCAATTTTGGCCTATTATAAACTAGTTGTTATGGAATTTGCACAATAGATTATTATGATCATATTAAAAACAAGATGTTTTACCATTTTACTTGTTAAAACCAATAGTTATATGTAAAATAATAAGACAATAGATTCTTAAAGTCTTTTACATATATCAGAAAAATCAATTTGACATTTCAGATATAAAAGTATTGAGACAGAATCTGATTTGTTTAGGAAATGTTTTATCATGATTCATGAAGAGGTTTTTCCTCATGGCTTTCAGTAAACCTTTTATTCATCTTAAGAATCATGCTTGTTGATTGCTATGTTTGGAAGAATTCTCTGAATGTGCTCTATTAAATGTGACAAACTTGGAAGTAACATGGTATGTTACAGTGCTTACATTAATTATTACTAATTTTTTTAAGTTAAGAAAATGTTTACCTCTAATTCATGCTTTGGTGATAAGATGAGGAAAGTAAGATGAATTTACTATTCAGAAAATATGATAATGAGGGAATTCAGATGTCCTTTTGTATGTATACTAAACTAGTTTTAGAAAGAACAGTTGAGGGCTTTAAAATGAACTGATATGACAAATCACTGTCAGTATTTGCAAATGTAATGTTTTGACTGAATCTAGATTTATATTCAATTCATTTTTACAATTTCATTGTGCTTTAGCAAACATCTCCAAAGGAAGAGATAGAGGATATCTTCAATAGKGTCAGACAAGTACTTTTTTTTTTGTGTTTGGAATCCAGAAAAAATTAGGAAGTTATTAAGTTAATATCAATATTAGTATCAAATTAAAGTTGATATATTTTATTTATTTTTAATTAACTTTTTCATAATAATCTGTGCCTTTAGGGATGGTTATAGATACGCTACCTATAGAAAGTGATGCTTATTATGTTTAATAATGGTGAAAGAAGGATTACTGTGTTGGCATGATTAGGAGTTTGAAGCAGTCATATTATGGTGGATATTAATAGGTATTTTGATTGCCTAAGAAAATTTTAATGAGCTTCATAATTTTTGGAAATCATTTATAGAAAAAGTCATAAGTTCCTTGTTCATTAAAGGCTTGTTAAAAGAAGGAATAAATGAGGAAGTCTGAAATGACTTTAAGCCTTCTGCAAGTTTATATAAAATGTTCATTTAATAAAAAATGGACTCAATATTTTTACAATTGTGGTCTACATCTTGCAGAAGATTACAAAAAGTGCAATCTCTAGAATTGTATGCATAAACAAAAATGGATGGTATCATAGTAAATGCATAATATTTTATCATTATTTCAAGGAAATGGCCCTATATTTAATGACAAGAAATGCAAAATTTGCCTTAAAATATTGCTATTAAATCCTAGTGATTGATCCCTAGTAATTATATAGTCATACCAAATATTCCTGCAGTATCCTTTTTTTGTCTAACCCAATTTATATCTTTAATAAAAATTTCATTGTATAAATTTTTTACTCTAAGATTTTAGCAAAAATTTTCAAGGGATTATTTTATAGAAAATTGATCTATGTGATTTCATTACTCTGTTAAGAATGCTATAGATTGCTAGATCACAAATATTCCAAATTGGGAGATGTCTTAAATCTTTTTTTTGAAATTAGTAAAATTCTATTTAAATAGAAATAACTTAAAAATATCTGTAATAATTATTCATTAATCCAGGAATCAAAGATCTGAAAGAATAATATTGTAGATATGTGTAGTCTATCACATTATTAAACTATGAATCTTTAATTTCTGTTTTAGCCTAATATAATAATGGATTTTCAATAATAATATATATGTGAAGGCATTATACTTTTACGTACTATTTAGAAGTTAAGAATACTCTATAACTCTTGCATAAAATTTCATGGATAGCATTTTTAATGTCAATAAATAATAATGTTGACTACAATGCCTAAAAGAGATTTTGTTTGAGATCATAAGTAAACTTTAAGTATTTTGAGAGACACATTAATCTTTCTTGTCACTATGAATTAATGCAATGGACTAGAACAATGTTTTATTGAATGCACTCATTTTCGTGGGATTTGGAACAAAGTGGCCTTGGATTTGAGAATAGGGTTTTATCTCTTGCTTACTATGTATCTTTGGAAAAATTAACTTGTGTGACACTTGACTTCCTTATTTATAAAAATAGAATATTTTTACCAACTTTAAAAGGTTGTGTAAATTTACCAACTACCAAAGAGTGTGACACATACCCCTAATTCCCTCATCAAGAATTGTATGGTGTGTATACCAAAAATTTATTCTTAACATTTTAAAAATTCTTTTGCTTGGTAAATAATTTGTACTTAATTCCTTAATGAATTTTAAAAAACCATAAATCTATCAAATCAGGTTTTTTTATACAAAGTCTTCTAGAGAATGGAGGATGTGAATTGGACTTTGAGTTATGGGAATGTTTATTCAGTCAAGAACAAGAGCAAAAATTTAGAATCAGAATATACTCATCCATACATCATAGAGGTCCATTCTGGGCAGGTGTTGGAAAGCTGTGTGTGAAGACAATGGCTTTTATTATAATTGTATTGGTGGGAAATAATAATATTTTACATTAATTTATACTGTGGTTAAACTTTAGTGGTGTTAGGAGGAGATACATTGTTTACATTCTTTTTTTTTTATTGTTGGTTGTTCAAAACATTACATAGTTCTTGATATATCATATTTCACATTTTGATTCAAGCAGGTTATGAACTCCCATTTTACCCCGTATACAGCTTGCAGAATCACATCAGTTACTCTTCATTGCTTTACATATTGATATACTCATGTCTGTTGTATTCTGCTGCCTTTCCTATCCTGTACTATCCCCCCTCCCCTCCCCTCCCCTCCCCTCCCCTCTTCTCTCTCTACCCCCACTACTGTAATTCATTCCTCCCCCTTGTACTGTTTTTCCCTTTCCCCTCACTTCCTCTTGTATTAATTTTGTATAACCCTGAGGGTCTCCTTCCATTTCCATGCAATTTCCCTTCTCTCTCCCTTTCCCTCCCACCTCTCATCCTTGTTTAATGTTGATCTTCTTCTCGTGCTCTTCTTCCCTAGTCTGTTCTTAGTTACTCTCCTTATATCAGAGAAGACATTTGGCATTTGTTTTTTACATTCTTTATGAATAGGTGGATGTAAAAAAAATTCTATGTCAATATTTTATTGGATCTTCGCTTCTCTGCATATGTCACTCTGTCATCATTAGTCAAAACCCTTTTTTGTTTTAAAATGTAAAGGAATTCTTTACAAATATTCAGAAACCTGTATGCAGGAATATTAGTTATAATAATGAATTATAAATATTACCTTCCGCCATTTCCCTCCCTTTTGTATTTTTCTTTCTCTGGTAAATCTTGATAACTATTGCAATCAGGAACATAATGTGACTTTATTATTAGAAATAATTTTAAAAGCACCTTGCCTATAGGAGTTAATTCATTACTAGAGTATGCAGAGTATCGGATAATATTTTTGTAACATGTCATAGCTACCCCACAGTATACATTTTTATATCTATCCCATAATCCAAAATATATTGAACAGTTTTATTTCTGTGAAATACACATTTAGCATTATAGGGAAAATAACACAACAGAATATTAATTGCCTTATACCTTTTCCCCCAAGTACTTTCAATTAATAGATTTATATTCTAAAATAAAAAATGTTTTATTAGTTGACCTCTGGGATACTTCATACACTTAAGCCATTTTTGTATTCTCTTCCAGACAAACCAACAACCAAAAAAAATATAGCATATACACATAATTATTTCATCAAAAAGAATAATGTCTTTGGTCCTTACATCTCTGAAAGTTTATAATTATAGAGTTAAGTAAATGAAGAAAGAGGCTTCAACTTCACTTTATAAATATTTCTGTTACATTTCAGAAATATATTTCAAGACAGTAGGTACAATTTAGGAACTGTAAACACAATATAAACAATATTAAGCACACAGCAGAAAGTTTTGTGTTAAGTTGGAGTTATAGGAAATGGCTTTCAAAAACTATACTTTTTCTTATGGATGAGATATTGAATTATTTTCTCCTCTTGTGCTACTTTTTGTATCTGGTGATTTCTAAAGGGAATATGCACCCTAATTTAAAATAGAGGTAGGATAATTCATTGTAATCATGAAAAATTTTGTGCTTTCTTTGAAGGTTTATTACTTAAGAAAATGTGTCTATAAATAGAATTAGTAATCTAGTTCAGTTCTTTGAATAATATTTTTAAAATATTATTTTAGTTGTAGATGGACACAATATCTTTATTTAATTTATTTTTATGTGTTACTGAGGATTGAACCCAGTGCCTCATATGTGGGAGGCAGGTGCTCCATCCCTGAGCTACAATCCCAACCCAAGTTCTTTGAAAAATATTTTTAATCATGATTCTTAGAGGATGGAACTTTGTTTTTGGCCTTTTCAAATTTAGTTAATATATTAGTTTTCTATTTTTTACTTTTATTATGAAGTACTGCTCTGATCAGATTTTTAAAAATTGTCAACCAGATTTTCCTAAGTGTAATTTATTTATTAATAAATCTTGTTTATTGAATTCACTATTCATATTTAAAACATCATACATATTAATTGCCTAGGTTTTATAATGTACTTGGTTAAAATTTAATTTTGGAAGAAAAGGAAACATCCTTAGTGAAGAAGTGCAAAATGTGTCTAGGTTGTACTAAGTGGATGCAACAAGGGCCCTTTAATATATCTGTGGCCCTTAGGTGGATTTTAAAAGGTTTATTAAAACAGAATGGCAAATTGTGTGTTCATTC